AACCCAATAGCTCTTATTCCTTTCATTTTCACTCCCAATAAAATTTTTAAAAACTAATAGATCCCCTTGCATAAAAATAAAAATTACAAAGAATATGTACTAAATATATTAGAATTAAAAATGGGGGTTTTACAAAAACAAAATCCAAACTTACCGTGGGGGCCGGCTATTCCGTTCTTAAAATCTCTAAGATTTATAAGGATAAAATTTAAATAAATAGAAATAGAAATAGAAAATCTGAAATTTTTAAAAAATTGAGTAGGGCCATGGTCCCCACTCATCATTCATTAAATCTGCCCCTGCATATATAATCATGGTTGTTAGTATCCTACGATACTCGATACGTATCATACGATACTATTCGATACAGGTCGCCAACGATACGTATTAGAGAGTGTATCCTAAACCATTAGATACATTGATATGTATCCTACGATACGATACGTATCCATTCGTATCCTTAAAAATATCGATACGACTTTATTAATTTGGGCCAAAGGTCCAAAAAAAAATTCGGGTTGAAACCGGGTCACCCAACCCGATTCACTAAAACCTGTCCAAATTTACCTATTTTGCATGAAGAAAGTGAAAAGGAATATGTATTACCCATTTTACATGATAATAATAATATAAATGGAGATATAGATATTGACATTGATCTTGGAATTTTGTGATTAATTTTGATTATGTAATACCGTAATTTAAAGTTAATAATAACACAAAATTCTTTAATTAATCTTGGGGATTATATTAATTTTTAGAAAATTTTGATTATTTTATTAATTTTTTTAAAAAAGGCGTATCTTACGATACGCGATACAGGATTCAAAAAATTAGGTTTTCGATACACGATACGATACACGATTTGATAACCATGTATATAATACCTTTTCAACATTAGAATGGCTAATACAACACCCGATCTAATTACATAATGTCCAGGTATTGGGGATTTGCACTGTTATTTGAGAAACAAAATAAAAAGAAAATTAAGTGCATTAATTTCTTAAGACATGTTTGCGTTTGTTGTACACTCATATATAGTCTTGATTCAGTGATCACCTAATGCGAATTCTAGTACGCGTTTTACTTCTTTCCGTCTTTTGTATTTTAGTTCGAACCTTGGTTTTGGTTTACCCTCACTTGAGTTCGATGAGTACTCCTCTTTATCCTCTCTTGGCGTCCCAGCTGTGTAATTGGATGATTTTCCTTTTGATATTGCGTAATAATAATTGTCATGCAGATTCATTGGATCCAGTTTCTGGTTCATTTCAGTAACCTCAGCTAAGATTCTCAAGATATCAAGCGATTGTGCAGCCTGGAACTCAACATTTAAAAGCTTAGATAGAGATGGATCCAGTTGGACAAGCCTCTTGTGTACCTGTACCTCTTCACCTTGTTCCACCATGGGATCTCTGAGCAAGTAGAAACAAGTTGTCTTGCTTTCTCCACTGTCCCAAGTAATAAATGAATCTCCTCTCTTGAGTTGTCCATAAGCTCTTCATTAAATTTCTCCAGTTCAATGGTCTTAGGAGTTAGTAACTTGAGAGTGCTTTCCGAGCTTTCTAGAATGGATTTGAATTTGTTGGACTTAGCCTTGGCGCCTTTAATCTCATCGCATAGCAGTTGAAATGCAACTCCTAGAGCAGCCCCTGCAACGAGATCTTCGATTCCTGGCATTTGTGAAGGCAACAAAACAAACAACCTCTTTAAGAAACGAAACCTAGTACTCTTGCTAATTCATTCAAATATTAATTTGATTCATTGACATAGAATTCCCTAATGAAGAAAAAGGCTTCAAGAGGCAGCAATTTATATTAAGAGATTTGACAATACCTTACCTATATACGACCCGAAAATGTGATTACATTAATTAATTTAATTATTAAAATGCTAATTGTACTTGGTCATCCTAGAACTGCTGGATTCATTCAAGCTCTGTTGTGTTGAAATATTTTTTCACTCCAATTAATACGTATTATTTATTTATTGGATATTTGCAGGTCTAGCAACTAGAAAATAATCAATTAGATAATGTTGTCGGTTGTAAGTACAAGAAGAAATTGATTTTTGCATAGAATGTTTATGATTAAAATTTGAGGATATATTCCTCGGAGGAACAATATAATTATTGGCTTATTCACCTTTCCAGACTTTTTATTATTTGCTTATAGGCAAAATATCTACTTACTATCAATGTTAATTTCCTTACCCTCGTCCCATAAGGTTCATAATTAGATATGTAATATCAAAGAGAGTTCTCCCTTTTTTTTTTTTTTTTTTTTTTTTTCTTTCCAAAATCCTCATTTAGCTTTATTGTATAGACTCTTTTAGAAGAGTAAAGATAGTTTGACGGTTCGTTTAGGACTCTTGGATGTATTATTGAAGAAGTCTTGGATTCGAATCTCTACAACTACTAATAAGGGATAGCCGTTAAAGGCTTAATTGACTATTAACTTCAAGGTCCCGATAGATTGGTTGAAGTGCATGCAAACTGATTCGGACACTCTTGAATACCAAAAAAAAAAAAAAAAAAAAACCATCACCAACAATCATGACTTAACATGTCAAACTAGAATGTCGTTGTCCGATGACTTTGATTGGCAGATAACAGTTTTAAGATTTTTTATTTTTTGAACAAAAAAAATTTAAAATAGTTAAATTTTATGAGAGTCTAAAAAAAAAAAAAAAAAAGTTTTCTATTTCATCAATATTCTTTGTTACAAGCAAATAAATAATATTATAATATTTTGTGTTGATCCAAAAATACACTAATTAGAGTGATCATATCGACCTTGACGAGATCGAAACTGATTTGTACGTGATTACGGGTAATCAACAATGTATAAACGGTAAAATGCAATAAAGAAAATGGCACAATCTGTTTTTAAAGTGGTTCGGCAAGTTATACTCTTGAGTCTACGTCCACTGTTTTTGTATTTACTGTGAAAGCTTACAATAACAATCCTAGAATAATTTGTTAACCCTTTTCTCATCGTTGGAGGAGGTTTATATACAGATTTTGTACAAAGGAAATAGCGAAAATAAAAAAATTATAATTAAATTTGAAATGCAACTCCGATATTCTTGTAATTGAGCGTTGTGATTGCGCAAAAATTGTTGTCGATATGATCATTTCCGAGATACCCGGGATCTGAAGTTATCTATGAGTTGGTTGAACAACTGTAAGGTTTGATCGCGACTAGCTTGTGCTAGGTCGCGCTATGACTCGACGAGCTTATGCTAGGTCGGACAATCGATTGAGTATAATTAGTTCTAGATCGAGCTACAAACTCATAATTCTCTAAGCTTGAAGGAAAAATCACACACAATATTTTGAATTCATTGATTTTCATTAATAATATTTTCATTCTATCTATTTCTAATTACAAATTCTCATTCCATTTATTTTCATTCACAATACTTTCATTCTTAGTTCACCATCGATTGATTACGAATTCCTAGATAATTCATGTCACCAAAAGATTTTTTCTTTTACATTTACATCAAAATATCCATTCTTAAATAACTTCAAGAGGTACAATGATATATACATCTTGCTTCAATCATGCTGTGATCCAATGTTTTAAAAACCGATCCGGGGTGCAACCCGGCAAAGTGACCGGGTCTCAGGTCGACCGGTTCAACCGGTGATGACATCAGCATGATGATATTAAAAAAAATTCCAGAAAAATCATCAAGAAAAAAAAAGTTAAAAAAAAAAAGAAATCTACTTATTGATTTTAAAGAATAATTAAATAGGATATTATATTGGGACTTGAAACAGGTTGTACCCATCCAAAATCATTTGAAAGTGAGGATAGATTAAGGTAAAAAATTAATCCCTTCCCTACACGCTTCCACCAAATAAAAATTAAAAAAGAAACAAAGAGAGAGAGGCGACAAGACATCTATCTGCCCCCTTCCTCTCTTTCTTCATCGCTCAAGTATGTCTTCTCCTTCTTTTTTTCATGTTTTGTTATCTGGGTATTGCTCTTTTTCTTCTTCTTGTTCTTGTGTTTTTATTTTGATTTCGATGGGTGTTGTTTGTTTGACTTGAACAGTCATCTTCTATGGGAGAGAGAATCACTTCTGCAAGTTACTTCCACTCTTCCAGTACCCTCCTTCTCTACTCCATGCTTCTCCTCATAACTCATAAGGAATCAATCGAAAATAGATTAAATGACAGTACCTCCGATGGTGGCTGGAACTGCTGCCGAAGATGAGAAGAAATGAAGATGAAACAAAAGCTTTCGCTGAAGTGGAAATGAAAGAGCTAAGAGATGAAACGAAAAAATCGACCAAGAAATGAAGAAATAGACAAATGGAAGAGTGCAAATATGGGTTAGGGCTTGAAAGAATGAAAAATTGGGAAAACCGTTTAAAAAATCGCAATTAAGGAGTGGTTAGAGTTGACCCGGTTCTTTTCTAAAATCGGTTGGACCAATGGGTCAATACAGTAAACCGGTCTAACCGCGGGTTATTCCGATGAATTAGATCATCCGGATTTTATGTTAAATCAATCCGGTTTAATGGCTGGGTCCCGGTCGAACCGGTTTAACCGGCCGGACCGGACCGGGTTTTAAAACCTTGCTGTGATCTATAATCTAAATAGCCAGTCCAAAATCCCTCCGCAAAAATGATCGGGAATTTAAAAATAATTATAGTAAGAAGAAGAAAATCCTTTTGTCTAATAAAAGAGGGGAGTTGAACCCGACGTGAATCGAACACGCAACCTTCTGATCTGGAGTCAGACGCGCTACCATTGCGCCACGGATCCACGAGATGAGTTATCCATTCTTTAATTAGATAAAAACGATTAATACTTTGTGGCAGCAGATTTACATAGACTTAGATTAAACTTTAAGGCCCAGGAAAAAATAGCACAGCATTGGTGTAATTATTAATATCAAGGTTTGATTTAAGATATATTAGCAACTGACAACATTCTTGTTTTTTTTAAATTTTAATTAGTGCAGTTGCTAAAAAGCTACCAATTTCATTAAGGAGATTGTATTATACACTACTCTTGTAAAAAAGATTTTACTTAATCTTCTTCTCCTTCTCTTCTTTGACAATCTTGTTCTTCATATTCTTGATTACCTTGTCGTCAATCATGTCATAAAATCTCCTGGACTTCACTTTCAGGCACTCCCCACCGCTTTTTATTTTATCCTCGTACTTTTTATAACTCACTGGAACTGTCATGCCCATCATGACACCTGCAAATTAAGAACACCAAAAACCACATTTATAGAAAGAATTGTGTATTGAATTATTTATAGGATCGATTGTGTTAGTTGTTCAAAGCAAGAGAGTACCTATGTAAAGAAGTGTAAGCAGAGAGAAGACGGTTCCTACATAGGAGAGCAATAACAATCCAGCAACTACTTGAACAAACACAAACCACCCTCTGTCAACACTCACATGGAACATCCATTTCAGTACTTCTTCAACAATTCCTCGACATGCATTCGCAACCTCCAAAGCTGACTGCTCTGAGATTTCTAGTCCTGACATGTTTGGTGGCACTCTGAAACCAAAAGTACACCAAAACCATGAAAGAGAAAACAACTATTAAAGAGATTATTAGACATATATATAAAACCTGTCTCACTTACTTGCCGAGAAGTTTCCGTATGTTTCCCCATAGGAAGAGTAAAGTAGTAATGGCCATGGCCACCCATGAAACAACAGTGACAAAGTTAAAGTGATAGACTTCAAGCAATACCCAAATTACTGTTGACGTGAGGAAAACGCTTAAACTCAGATTCTTTCTTCTCCATAGGAATATATCTCTCCAAACATCTGGATATATTAATTAGTAAGATTGAAAGTTATTTAATTAGTTATCAAACTCTTGGCCTTAATGTGCTATATACAGGTAGCTTAATTAAATTACCTGACGATATGACTGGGGCTGTAGGTGAAGATGATTGTTCTGTAGCACTAGCATCCATACTGAAAAACTATACGAAAATGAAGATGAACTCTAGTTGGAGATAAATTAAAAGTATTGTTCAGTTCCTGTCCGAAAGTTTGGTGCGGTATGTTTAATCTAGGGTGAGGGTGAAGGTGAGAGAGGACAATAAGGTTTACACGTGTGGAATATAAGGTTACGTGGAGGCCATGCAGTACTCGTACAGCACAGGTGGTATATTATTCTTATTTATATGAAGTTGAAGGTACGTAGTCTCTTGTCGTGACTGATGAGAACTCAAATCTTAAATCATGATTCCCACCGCATTTAGATATAACAAAAATGAGTGACGCACAGGAATGGATCTACCTACATTCATTCCACATTATGTGTCATCTCCCTCATGGGATGATAAAATCTCTTGTAATAGTGTAAGATGTATGTGTTTTTTTTTTTTTAAAAAAAAAAATTTAAAAAGAGAATTAGTTTATTTTGTATTCAAGTAAATTGGTAATTACAAGTATTGGAATATTTGGTAGAAATAAAGACAGACATTTAAATGCTTATGCTGAGTCTAAAGGCAATACGATAAGAAAGGATAAATTTGTGGTATTTAAATATGATAAAGTATTATAACACAAATTTTTAATACAAATATGCAACACATATTCTTATCAATTGATTCAAGACAATCCAATGGCTTATAAGTTATTGACTTATAGCTATTTTTAACTTCTCCTTTTCAACCATTAGATTGTTTTAAATTAATGGACAAGGATTTGAATAATTAATTTGTGTAAAAATTTTGTATTAAAATAACCTAACCCAAAAGTATGCTATTTTATCTCTTGTTCTAAAATGGCTCGCCCTACCTTGTTTATCTCTTTTCTTAAATGAAATTTTAATTAAAATCAATTGGATGTTAGTTTAAAATTACATCTTGAAATCTTTACTAATTTAAAATATTATGTGTTGATGCGATAATTAGTACCAAGCAGAGATACTCAGCCAGCCTCGGAAGAGACCAAGTAAGATGTACACATGGTTATTGATAACCAACAAAGTTGTTAAAACAGCGTAACAAAATAAAGAATAAAAGAGATTTTATAGTGGTTTGACAGTATGGAAACCAAACCTGCATCCACTGTTGGGTTATTATTGAGTGATGTTACAAGATTGAATGAGGTTATAGAGGGAAACTCGCACGATAAATGAAGGACATTCAGCTCTCGCGACATATTCTCTTTAAACTCTCTCTAGAACATATCAATGTATTTTTCTCTTTGACTTTATTAATACTAGAATCTCTTAGAACGGAGGTCGTGGGCTCTTTTTGTACTTGACTTATCTGACAATGGTTGTGAGTGGGTGTTACGAGATTACTTGCACGCATAACCCCCTTAATTAGGATCTGAGTTAGTAATCTCCATGCTTGTAACAAGTCGAGTCATGCTAATGATAGCTTAACCCATGTTTTTAATAGTAATCACCTTGAGAGAAGACAAGCACTAATGAGATGACACGTGGGAGGATCCAGACCATCAACTTTCAACACACCTTGGGGATGCGTGGCATAAATCTGACCGCCAATAAATTAGGCATAATATTATGTTACAGTAATGTATTGATAGATGGTATGAGTCATGTGATACCTTGTAGTATCAATAGATGTCCTCAAAAGAGAAATACAAATATCATGCAATATACAATTTTATTCTTACTCAAAATAAAGATGCAGCTGGTTTTGAACTTTGAAGAACAACAGTCGTGAAAATCTCTCCATTGATTCATGAACACACCCGAGTTGAGGCCCAATAGAGCTGATTTTATCCAAGTCTATTTATAACGAAGAGGGCCTTGCTGCAGTTTTTTCATCAAACCCAATCGCTGAAGAATCGGGGCCTGGCATTTGTTAAACCGGGCCAGTGCAGTGTTGAGCTCTCTTTCCAAAGTGACTCAACCCATGGAAAAGTATGGCCATTATGAAAAGAGAGATAAAGAGAAGTATACAAAAAAAAAAAAAAAAAAAAAAAAAAAAAAAAAAAAAAAAAAAAAGCAGTGAAAATATTAATGGGACAAGGTAAAATAGAAGGGTGACAATGATTAATCTGACTATGGAAGCAAGTATAAGAGAAAAGGCCCAATCCTGATGATGTATTTTATTAAAATTGATTAGGTTTTGGAGCAAACATCATAATGAACATCACTTTTTAACTAAATTCTTCCAACTACCATCCTAGTAAAAGAGAAATGAGAAGCAAAATGTGTAAAGTGATTCAGTCATTCCATTCCAAAGGCTCTCTTCTCTCCTCTCCTCTCACAACGGACAGTTTCATACAGTTCATAAGAGCATCTTCAAAAATTCTTTATATTACTCAAACTTATTATAAAGAGTTTATCCATAAAACTAGAGTCCAATAGATTCTTTATTCTTTAAATATAAATTAAGAGTGAGTTTGACTTTCTTATTTATAAAGTCAAATTTCACTCTCTATCCCTATTTTATTTAATAAATTATAAGTTTTTATAGATTTATTAGAGCATCTTCAAAAAATTTTTTATGCTCCAAACTTTTTATTACAAGGAGTTTGTAAACAAGAGTTCAATAGATTTTTTATTCTTTAAATATAAATTAAAAAGTGAATTTGACTTTCTATATCTAGAAAATTAAATTTCACTCTCTATTCTAATTTTATTTAATAAATTACAAGTTTTTATATATTTATTATAATTAATAAGAGAGAAAAAATATATGGGATGAGTAATTTAAGGGTAGAATTAGAATCTCGATAACAGAATTGAAGGCTAGGTGGGGACTGGGGCGGTGAAGGTGAAGGTGAAGGTGAATCACGCGCAAAACAACCCAAGCCATAACTGGCAAAACGTGTGGGACCTATCCTGTCTTAAAGTCAACCCATTATCCAAATCACCAACATAACACGTGACTACCCATTATTAACTTTTATTCCTATTGCTTCTTTTCTTATATGGAAAAGCAAAACAGTTAATTAACAGCCTGGACTAACTAATTCACTCTTTTTTTATAATTAGTTATTTTAAAAACCAAAGTATTGAATGTACTAAAAAAAAAAAAAATTTTTGAGCGAAAGGGTAGGGGGTGATATAGAAAATAAAAAAACAAGGAATACATTGGATTTATATATCTTACAACAAAATGACCATAATTATTTTGCCCTTAATTAATGAACAAACATGTCGGTTGACTAGCCAATTGTGTGAATATTTTGATAAGAGAGAAGCCAAGCGGTTGTTTGGGAACACATCTCTTATTTTGTATTAGTTAGGTTGGATTATTGATTGATTTGATTCCATGTTAGTTTGTATTGAAAATTGGCTGACCAAACTTCAATTAATTCAAAAAACTTCTACCTGGACAATTGGACACTTATAATTATTATTGAATGGCTTGAAAGTAAAACAGTAAAGGGATCCAATATAGATTCTTGAGTTTGAGTCTCGTACTAATAGAGATAACTATTAAAAGGTTATGGGAGATTAATTGAAATACGTGTAAATTAGTCTGAACGATAACCAAAAATAAAAATAAAAATTGGATACTTATATTTGACCCATTTACAATATTGTCTTTAGGGTTATATACCATCAAGTAATGACATAAAATATCTTAATTTTTGTGTTTAATTGTGATTAGCTGTTAATTCTTTTGTTTTGACAATAACTTTATACAAAAATTCGCATTTATTATTTTAAGACATGGGGATGATTTTGAAGTCGATTTTATGTCCATATTTAGACTACGGTCTAAGACAAAAAGTGACATAGTTCACGAGGTGCGGCTATTTTTATTTTTTTGAAATAATAATAATAATAATAATAATGCATAAATAGTTGAATCATTGTTTTTAAAAGGATATATATATATATAACTTCTCAATAATCATAATAATGTAATTAATTAATTTTATTAGTATTAAGAGATTATAACTTAATAGATATGTAATTATAATTTTTTTTATTTTATATAATTCATATTTTAGTAGTACATAATTAAGATTTCAATTCATGTTTTAATAGTATTAAGATTTCAATTGCCAGCTTTTAAAACAAATAGAAGATCGTGTCTTGGAATCAATAAAGATAAATGTTCTTGATGGAATTGTAAATGCAGTTGTTACATGGTTAAACTAATGTGAAGCCACAGACTATTGCTAATTGTTTCAAGCATTACAAAATTAGGACTTTCGATGTCGATGAATTGCAAGTTATAAATAAAGTAGATGAAGAGAATCAAAGGAGAATTAAAGAATCAGTATAGAATTAAGTGATCAGATTCAACAATTCACCACACTAATAGAATTGATATGTTTTCCTTAATCATCCAAATAAATAAAAAGTCATATATGTTTTAACTGAATAAGAAATCATTGTTACAATTAGACAAGAAGAAAAAAGAAATAATCATGACGACGATAGTATAAAAATACAAAATTTTCATACTAAGAAGCTATAAACATACTTGAAAAGCTAGAAATCTTTTGACTTTATCAAGAAAATGTCCATATTAACGAGTAATGTATCCGTAAGTTAAAAGATATGATAACAACTCTAAAATATAAATTATTCTTTTAAATAATTTTATATAAATATTTTATTTTATCTTAAAACTTTTAATATATACCTTAAACTTTTAATATATATATAAAGACAGCTGCCAAAAATTTCAAAGCTTTTCGAAATTGGGAATGTGAATTGGTTACAGAGGTGCATGTGAAATCCATATAAATATAATATCGAATGCTTTCACATATTCATTTTTCAAACTTGCTCCCATCAATTACTACCCCACCAATATCAATCAATACTATTGCCTCCTGCAATAAATGTCAATCAATATTAATTTCTAAAATGTTTTATTTTAATGGTAGTCAAAAGATAAAAGTAAAAAGAAGAAAAAGGAAGGAATGAATCAGTGGCGGGATCAGAGGGGGCTTCTAGAAAAAAGGTGTAATGAAATGAGGTAAATAAGCTTTGGTTTGAAGCAACCAACCAATTATGAATTATGATAACGCGGAAACGCGTCAAATGCGCCGAACATTACAAATACCTCCTTCAGGTTTAACGATACTACAAGACACCTGATAATTTCACATAATAACATAACAAAAAATATAAATATTATTTGTCATTTTCAAATTCATAAAATTTTATTTTTATCATGAAAATATGATAAATGTGAGGGTAAAATGGGACTCTTTCTAAAAAATTGTTTCGTCAGAATTATTTTTTTATATAATTTATTGAAAATGGGAATTTTTGTTAGGCTAAATGATATTTTCCCAATCCGAAGTTTGGCAAATGTACATTTCCCCACCCATGAACTTTGAAAAAAACATTTTCCCATCCACAGTCAATCTCCCTCGATGGAATCTGTTACCAGACGGGTAAAGCTATGAAAATACTATAATTTGAATAACATTTTCCCACCTAAGCTTTATTAAATGTATTTTCACACCTAGTTTGTTTTATGTTAATAAATTAAAAAAATTTAAATAAGGTCAATTATTAAAAAAAAAATCTGAAAATAAAAAAAATTATAAAAATTTGGAAAAAAAACAATTGATCGGAATCACACCCAATGATTTCGATTGAATCACACTTGGACTCAGGTTGAATCACACTAGGCTGAGTGCAATTCCAACTAAATTGCACCTAGCCGGGTGTGAAACTATCTAAATCACACCTAGTTAGGTGCGGTTCAACCAAAATGTTAGGTGTGATTCTGGCCAATTGGTTTTTTTTTTTCAGTTTTTTCTTTTAAATTTCAGAATTTTTAAATTTTTAGATTTTAAATTTTTACTTCTTTTTTACAATATTTCAATTTTTTCTTCTTATTTTAGAAATTATATATTTATAAATTTCATAAAATATATACCATTAATGAAATATTGTTTTGTAGTTTTTATAAATATTTAATTGACAAATATTATTATAATTTTTAATCTACTATATACAATTTTAAATTTTTTTAGAAACACGTGTACTTTAAAAGTAAAACATCTATTTTGATTATAGAAATTGAAGATATGGGGTTTAAAAGGCTAATTCTCAAGTTGGTGAAGATAATTGTTATATGTTTGTAATTTAGGGGTGTAACAATATTAACCCAATAATATATATTGTGTAAACTGTCGAGAATGCCCTTTTGTCGTCAAAACTAATGTCTTGTATTTTAACAATGGGGGGGAAAAGTATATTTGCCAAACTTTGGGTGGGAAAATGTCATTCAGCCTTTTGCTACTTTATGGAACCTTTGGGTGTGCTAAGATTTTACTAAAAATGAAGTAACATTTGTTATTCACTCATAGCTTTGTCCCACTCTCTGCTTATAAAAAGCTCACTCCTTGTTTAGATTGCGACCCAGAACAGACTAGAGCGGGATTCAATAATACATTCATATTTGGTACTGTTCTACATCTCTGTCTTTTTTAAATCTATATCAAGCATGAAAGGTGACTGCTCATATGCCAATTTTAACTCACTCACGTTTAGCAGGTACAATGGCAAGTGCAGTCTTGCTCCATCTGATTTGTGGAGTTTTGGCTGTTTTGAGTGTTTCTTTGGTGAATGCGGATGACCCATATAAGTATTACACTTGGACTGTCACTTATGGAACCGTTGCTCCTCTTGGCGTTCCCCAACAGGTTTGTTTTATATTTGTTGGTGCTTTTGGAATATCTCAGTTTGTATCTTGTTTCCTTCGGGTTTCTGAAAGTTTTTAAATTGCAGGTGATTCTTATCAATGGTCAGTTTCCTGGACCTAGATTGGATGTGGTGACTAATGATAACATCATTCTTAACCTTATTAACAAGCTGGATCAACCTTTCCTCTTGACATGGTGAGTTTTTCCCTCTGTCTGTGCGTCTTTTGATGTTATATTTCTTCTTAGATAAGGCCATTGTGGTACATTCTTTTCTCTATATGCTAATACTGTATAGATCTGATAAGAGTGAATGTGAGATTTGAAAGCTTAACTTTTGTGCTTTTCTTACACTTCCTCTGCATTATAGACAAAACAATGAGAGAAAAACTCCACCCCTTTCTAGAGCTCTATAAAAATGACTGGCTTTTGTTTCATTTGTGATGATATTGTTATATTTATTTCCATATCCAATCACTTGATTGTGGTGTCTGGAAATATGACATTGTGTAATGACTACCGAGAGCTTGTTTTGTGACTAAAAGGAATGGTATTAAACAAAGGAAGAACTCATGGCAAGATGGAGTATTGGGAACCAATTGTCCCATCCCCCCAAACTCAAACTACACCTATAAGTTTCAAACCAAGGATCAGATTGGAACCTACACGTATTTCCCTTCAACTCTTATGCACAGAGCTGCTGGAGGATATGGAGGACTCAATGTCTATCAGAGGCCAAGGATCCCAATCCCTTATCCTACCCCCAATGGAGATTTCACTTTACTTATTGGTGATTGGTTCAAGACTAACCATAAGGTGAGCTATTTTTTTCTTTTATCTAAGCTCTTGATAAAGTTGCTACGTTTATGGTTTTTGCTGATATTGGTGGAAATACACAAGATGGAAAATATTGTTGTCTGTTTACCTACATATTCTCAGTACCGAGTTAAAATGCAGCCACTTTGCAAGTTATAAACAGTTCAATAAATACTCTTGCAAAGGCAAAAGCAATGGTGTGATATGTTAAAGTTTGAGTGGTATTTTCACTCTGACTTGTGCGCATTAATTGTTTTTAAGCAGCATCTTATCCATTATGTAGCTCTGTATTTCTTTTATATCAGGAGGAAAGCATCACGTGTAGAGATGCTGCTAGTTAGTTAAGGTTGAATCTTTTTTATTTGCATAAATTACATTGCATTGCATTATCTTCATTTTGGAGGGAAAATCTTGGGCACTGTTTGATGGTTTAGAAATAGTCAAAATTTAGACTATAACTTAGAAGGTTTTGTTTGAAGTATGCTTCAAATTTTTCTTTCACTCAAAGCATTTTTAATTTATATATATGTCTTAAAGCTGAATTTTTAACTTGGACGGGTTTGGTGTTTAAACCCAAAATTTTGTCCTTCCCATTCATTGTTCAATTCTCTGTATCATGTTTACCGTACTCACTATAACATCTTGATGCTTGCAGACATTGCAACAAACTTTGGACTCAGGGAAATCTCTTCCATTTCCTGATGGAGTTCTTATAAATGGCCAGGCACATACCACCTTCACTGGTGATCAAGGTCATACTTAGCATCTAACTAACTATATTTTTAATTCCTTGAAAAAGTAATTTTCATCCTACAATATATGTCTTTACCAACAATGGTTGTTTTGCTTTCAGGTAAAACCTATATGTTCAAGATCTCAAATGTGGGCTTATCGACTTCATTCAACTTCAGGATTCAGGGCCACACAATGAAGCTAGTTGAAGTTGAAGGATCTCACACAATTCAGAACATATATGACTCACTTGATGTGCATGTTGGTCAATCTTTATCTGTCTTGGTAACCTTAAATCAGTCTCCAAAGGACTACTACATTGTTGCATCCACACGGTTTACCAAGCAGGTTCTCACAGCTACTGCAGTATTACACTATGCTAATTCTAAGGCCCCGGCTTCAGGACCCTTGCCTGCTGCTCCTTCAAACCAACTACATTGGTCTATGCAGCAAGCCCGAACTTTCAGGTATAAATTACTTTAGAAGATAGGAGGTTTCACACAAGCAGATTTATGCTATCTATCCTCCCAGTTGCACAAAAACATGTTAGCTTTCTTTAGGACTAGCTACTCCTAGATTTGCACTTATGATGTCGTTAAATGAAGATATCTCAGTGGCATTGATACACCTTCTGATATACATTTTTCACTTAATAAAACTAAGCCATTGTAGTAATTGAAACAATAACTTTTTTTATGGCAGGTGGAATTTGACAGCAAATGCTGCCAGGCCGAATCCTCAGGGCTCATTCCATTATGGAAATATAACCACAACAAGGACTATTGTTCTGGCAAACTCAGCATCTTTAATAAATGGAAAGCAGCGTTATGCAGTTAATGGTGTCTCTTACGTGAACGCTGATACCCCTCTGAAGCTTGCTGATTATTTTAACATCCCTGGAGTTTTCAGTGTGAATTCGATCCAAAGTACACCCTCTGGTGGTTCCCCAACTGTAGGTACCTCTGTTTTGCAAACATCGCTTCACGAGTACATCGAGGTTGTCTTTCAAAACAATGAAAATACCATGCAATCCTGGCATCTTGATGGTTATGATTTTTGGGTTGTTGGGTAAGTCAAACTTTTCATTGCCAAGTTGTATTTGCTTTTTGCCAGTTGGGTAGGTTCTAACCGTTCCTTTTGTATTATGTACAGTTATGGTTCTGGACAGTGGACAGCAGACAAGAAAAAGACCTACAATCTAGTTGACACTCTTACTAGACACACAGCTCAGGTAACTTAAACCAAAGCTTAATTGATCTTAGCTTCCTTACTCTGTGCATGCATTGCTATTGTTTACTATTGTCAGAATAATTATACCTGTTTTCATGCTTGTATATAATGCTACTATTTCTTTTTTTATTTAAAACTATACTCTGTAAACTCAAGACAAATGAGTAATAAAAATTACAGCTTAAATCCATCTATATAATGCTTATGTATTGTGGTCAAATGTAGTTAACGCTCATTTAAGTTCTTTGTTAGGTACTTATAATTTTTCCTCATGCACTTGAATTTTCTTTGCAGGTCTATCCACGATCTTGGACTGCTATATATGTGTCCTTAGATAACCAAGGTATGTGGAACGTGAGGTCTGCAATATGGGAAAGGCAATATCTTGGACAACAATTTTATCTCAAGGTTTATAATGCAGTCCGCAGCTTCGCTAATGAATACGACCCTCCCTCCAACATTCTACTTTGTGGGAAAGCTGTTGGACATCACCCTTAGTCTCATTATTTACTTATGTAATAGTACTAGTCATTTGATTTTATCAGTCATGATGGTATGACTGTAAGAGAAAGCAAGAGTCTTTGCTAGGGAGAAAAGAATGCGGATTTGAGGATTCCAATTTTTTATTTGTACATCTCAAAAACATTTAGGTGGATTTTCATTGACATGATTATGTATTAGCTTAATATATTTGTACCTATTTTTCACTAATTTGGTTTTATCTATGATTGATGGCCTACAGTATTTATAAAGTATTTTTCTTCTGGTTTCATGGTTTTTGTGAAGTTGTATCTTTGATATTTTAAATTCAGTAGTTACTCTTTTTGGAATTCTGGCCAGCACATGGGCAGCTATTGTGCTGAAGCTTCTTGTTTTTAATGCTTTTTTCACTTTGTGGCCCATAAATTATATTTGTTTCATTGTATGTATGTTTTGTGCTAAGCAACATTATTCTGGATTTGCCAGTTAGATCCTAACAGACGGAATTTAAATTGAAGAAAAAAGTGAAGCTTTTTTCANAAAAAAAAAAAAAAAAAAAAAAAAAAAAAAATATTAATAGGACAAGGTAAAATAGAAGGGTTGAAAATGATTAATCTGACTATGGAAGCAAGTAATAAGAGAAAATGGCCCAATCCTGATGATGTATTTTATTAAAATTGATTAGGTTTTGGAGCAAACCATAATGAACATCACTTTTTAACTAAATTTCTCCAACTACCATCCTAGTAAAAGAGAAATGAGAAAGCTAAATGTGTAAAGTGATTCAGTCATTCCAATTCCAAAGGCTCTCTCCTCTCCTCTCACAACAGACAGTTTCATACAGTTCATAACAGCATCTTCAAATAACTCTTTATAAGACTCAAACTCTTTATTATAAAAAGTTTGTCCATAAAAACGAGAGTCCAATAAATTCTTTATTCTTTAAATATAAATTAAAGAGTGAGTTTGATTCTCTATATTTATAAAATCAAATTTCACTCTCTATCATTATTTTATTTAATAAATTACAAATTTTTATGCATTTTATTAGAGCATCTCTAAAGAATTTTTTATATGATCCAAACTTTTTATTACAAATAATTTATCTATAAAAACAAGAGTTCAATAGATACTTTATTCTTTAAATATAAATTAAAAAGTAAGTTTGATTTTCTTCATCTAGAGAGTTAAATTTCACTCTCTATTCTAATTTTATTTAATAAATTACAAGTTTTTATATATTTTATTATTAATTTTCTCTCTTATTATTAAGTTTAATTTAAACAGTTCATTGGATTTGAATATAAATTTTATTTTTTATAATTATAAATTAATAAAAATACTTTTTATTTACATAAAATATATTTTTTAAAATAAAGAGTACTATTAAAATGCTATAAATTAATAAGAGAATAAAATATATATGGGATGAGTAATTTAAGGGTAGAATTAGAATCTCGATAACAGAATTGAAAGGCCAGGTGGGGACTGGGGCGGTGAAGGTGAAGGTGAAGGTGAATCACGCGCAAACAACCCAAAGCCATACTGGCAAAACGTGTGGGACCTATTCCTGTCTTAAAGTCAATACCCATTATCCAAATCACCAACATAACACGTGACTACCCATTATTAACTTTTATTCCTATTGCTTCTTTTCTTATATGGAAAAGCAAA